GGAGATGTGGTATAATTGCTGGTGAGACAACTATTACCCAAGACCAAATGAAGTAGTTGTTACATGTAGCAACAGAAAATCACTGTACGGCCTTGAAGGATGAGCAAAACCGATACTGCATAGCCAGCTATAAAAGGCCAGACATAACAAAACGTAAAACAATGCAAAACAGAAACCCAACGGCCTAGTTTATGTACAAAACGAACGAATAACAAATAGGATATTATAACCACTTAAAAGTAGCCTGTTTGTTTTAAGTATGGGTGATTGTTGGTTATATTCTTATTCTAGACGTAAAAATTGGTATTTGCTGCTCCTCACTATGAATGGGAAAGCACATAGCATTTAGAAAAAGAGTTGAATGTCTTCAGCAGACTGATGTATGTATGCTTAAAATCTAGTTAAAAACTAATGGCATACTACAAAGCATGTTTCATACATATTAACATGTTGTCCTTAATATGCATAGTGTTTGCCATTTGATGTATAGCCACCTTCATTCATTGAATCAGAAAGTTGATCTTGTTATTTGCTTATATTCATTTGGAAATTATTTTAAACACCATGGATAAATAAGCCACAACTTGCTGTAATCATATAACCACATCGTAAATACCAAATCTATACATCTTGTTCTGTCATGTCTGTGTAACCAATTCGAAAACTTATAATTCGAAGCTAACATAATGATCATATTCTATAAATAACACTTTTGATTTTGTTTTGTTACCATAAAAATATAAAAGAGGGACGAAAGATACCAGAGGGACAGTCAAACTCATAGATCGAAAACAAACTCACAACACCATGGCCAAAAAATAAAAAGACAAACAGACAAATAATAGTACAGATGACACAACATAAAAAACTAAAGACTAAACAACACGAACCCCTACAAAAACTGGGGATGATCTCAGGTGCTCCAGAAGGGTAAGCAGATCCTGCTCCATATGTGGCACCCGTTGTGTTGCTTATGTTATTACAAATCCGGTAAATAGTCTGATTCGGTAGGTCACATTCGTGAAAAGGGAAGGGTATTGTAGTTACGACATAAGGAACATATCCGCTATCATCTGTGAAACGGATATTCCATAACGGTCAACCAACTCGTGATGGCGTCCGTAAAATTTACGAAGGGATGATTTCAACTTCACCATTTGGAACTCTTGGTTTAAAAGCTTCCTTGTGAGCAGCAATCCTATATCAAGGAAATCATGATAGGAAATACAAGCCCGGGAATATCGTATCAATTGGGAGATAAATACTCCGTATTCAGGCGCGTATATCATGAGAAAAATATGATTCAGATTGATTTTGAGAATAAAAAAAGGAATATATGAATACCAGTGTTAATAAAGGTACCAGCTGGGGTCCAAGTCACATCTAAAAAAAATCAGTTAAGGCTATGATACAATACCAGTTGTTCCTAGACGGTAATAGCATTTTCCAAAAGAATTGAACGAAGTCTAAACCCGTCTTGTAGTCTGGATGGGGGCTCCTTTAATTTCTGTATTCCATAAATTTTTCAAGCATTTTTGTTTATCTTTAAAAATAGGTTTTATTCTGTTAAAATTCTTCTGAAAATGATTTTTTTCTAGTAAACATGTTAAATTTCATTTAATTAGCTATTAAATATGATTTCTTTATTCTTCTCTTATCAGTTATTGTTTTAACTACTAGTAATTCTTTTATTTTCCACAGTTATTCTTTATCATGTTTATGTTTTTCGGCTTTTATTCTCGATTCATTAAACCCTATCCAGACCCTCAGAATTGTGGATTCAGGAAACAGTTAACAAGATTTAAGTTATTGTTTGTATATGATTTGTGGAAAGCACCAGATTAACACTTTTTTTCTGGTTAAATAATCACAATTAACATAAATGTACGGTAACATTTCCGGACACGTGCCAAACTGCCCCTTTCAAATTTGAATTGACAACTTTATAGGATACGCAATTACTTCGTGATTACAGAGACAAATATACACATATATGTCTCTGGTGATTATTATTGAATTTTGTAAACTTACCCAATAGCTACATTTATGTCACAATTTTAACGATGCATTAAAAAATGTTTTAGTTAATAGTGCTTTGTATGCCTCGGTAGTAAAAGGATGTTCCATAATACCACCCTTCAAGTCTTAAGAAGTCGTAGAAGTTGAAGTAGCCTGCCATTCTGGTCAAACCTCCTCTTTGCGTCAGTACGAGCTAAATCGACCTGTCGACAGATTTATGTGAGAAATTAAAACTTTCCTAAACTAGGTAAAATTCGTTTGATGTATACAGGATGTTTAATATATCGGTATAAGCTAGTCGAGCATCTCTGTGGGTTATACGTCAATATGACAGCAACCGAACGACAAAAAAGTAGTATTCAACAAAAGACCAGAGTCTATAGAATATAACAAGCTCTAAATCGTCCAAAGTCTATACAATTGTAAATAAGTTAAACAGAAACCATCTAGAGATCGTATCTCCTTGTCTGAGAAGGTGGTAAGTTTCTTTCTTTGAAACAGGTTTACTTGTATCAAAATTGCCGACAAGAGTTATTGTGTCGGACACATATAGTTGTATCCATTAATGCAGGGTATATAAGAATAAGAAAATGTGCATGGTATGATTGCCAATGAGAAAAATAACCACCTACGGTATAATGTAAGCAATTTTAGGCAATCGTACGGCCTTCTAAAGTGAGAAAAAAACCATACCGTATAATCTTCTTTAAAAGTCCCCGACATGAAAAATATGAAACAATTCAATTGAGAAATTTAACGGCCTTATTTAAAACAAAACAATTCGCGAAAAACAAATGTAACAGACACGAATCAGCGTCAATCACTGAATTACAGGCACTTAAAGAATGTGGCGGGGTAAAACATGTTTGCAGGCGTCAACCCTCCCACTCATCTGCGCCAGTGGTGTAACAGTGCAATATAAGAACAAACTATAAAACTCAGCTGAAAAGGGCTTAACTCATCCGATCGATACCAAGCAGTAAACCAACAAAAACACAGACCGGGCGTGGCAGAGTATTTATACATCCCCACAACAAAAGAGACACAAATTACGTATCGCAGTTACTGACAGCTTGTTCAAAACCAATAACAACTAATAAAAAAACATCATGTATCTGAGACTAAAATGTTCACTTGTGTTAAAACCCTGGACAATTTTACTCTTTACACATCTGATGATCCTTTATTGATCTGTTGCAAGGCACTCATTAATCCACATTATACTTTGACGGATAACGGTTCAAATATTCGCTCTTCATCCCAGTCGACTTCTTTGCAAAACGTCATATGTTTTTGTTCTTGTCCACTGAAATATTTGTCACTGGACATTTAGAAAAAAAACACAATAATTGATTTGACAATATGAAATTGTTCCAGTGACAACTAGAAACTGATTTTTTAATATGAATATTACGAATGGTAAAAAGTTGAATATACCGATTGAAGAAAACAAAAGTAGACAAAAAGGTATATATTAACAAAGAATTCAAATTATTTAACATTACTAACTGAACCCCAGAGTGTGTAGGAAAGTGACTTGACACAAAATCGACATTACAAGTAATATACCTCTGTTACTATATTATCTAGATAAAACATTCTTATTATTTCGTACCACGCTAACATCAAATGCTTTTTTTTTTGTCGCGAAACCTTTTTTTATGAACCTAAAATTTGATTTAATGGCAAATACTTTAAATCTGATTTTTCCCTTCTCTCTGATCAAAATCTTGTTGGCTTTTTTTTTCAGAAGAAAATCAAAAGGGACCTAAAGATAGCCAAATTAATATTTAAATGATTAAATTTGATAAAATATTTTAGTTATATCTTAATATAAAGTTAAATAAGAAATTGAATAACCTGAATTACAAATGGATATTGACCATTAAAATACAATATATCATATGTATAATAAAACAAATATTTCAAATGCTCTATTATCTATATCGATTAAAACAATCTTATAGTGGCCGAATAAGGTTGATTCCATGACCAAGTGTTCAGTGTTCGGTGACCCATATCGGCTCACTATATACACGTATCGGACAAATTAACAAAAAAGCTAATTGCCAATCCAATCAAGGATGACCACCTCGGCTTTACGTCACATGTGACATTCAGCGGAAAATTATCTGTGTATATTTAGATTTTAACTTTTAATTAAAAAGAAAAAATCATGCAGATGTATAAGCTTTATATGTTTGCACATTTTCTTCTAATTTCGACAGATTACCAAACTAACTCAACTCTTTTCAATTTTTTGTTTGATTCAGTTGTTTTCAAATTTGCCACATAAGAGGAGATAACTCATGTATAAGGGGAGATAACTCAGATAAGGTAACTTTTATTATAGGATGTATTGTGATTTTACCTTTTTTATTATGTAGCATAAAAATGAGTTCGGTGACCATGTTGTTTTTTTTTTTCTTATCTGAAAGCATATTAATTATTAGAGCTATCTTCTCATATTTTATCTTAAAATTCTATGGTGTAGTTTTCTTTTTATCACACAAAATTGGGTTTCCAGGCATAATCTATACACAAGTTTGCACAATCTGTAGCGTAAAGAAAAGTCTAGTGACCCAAACTTTTTATTATATTCTTGAAAAAAAAGCATGTAATAAACTCATTTTGACAAATTATTAAAAAAACATCTATGGATTTTATTTTCGATCCCTTATATACCTTTATGAGAAAACATCAATATTTGTACAATATTTTGTAACACCAAAAACATATTTACACAATTAGGTATGCAACTACTAATCTTTGTATATATCATATTAGGACTTTTCTTTTATTATCCGGGTCAGACATTATCATCGAATTTCTCGCTAAAAAAATTAACAGTATCATACAAGGGTCAGATTTATCATTTCTCATTTGCAAAGCCATAAAGTAGAATTGGCTTCATAGTATGATAAAACTGATGTAAACTGGTGTGTGTTATTACGAATTGATTGATATAGATTAACACGACATATATCAAAGTACATATTTTATTTAAAAAAATTATTAAACCGTTACTAATATAATAAAGGTAAGGGATACAATTGATATTTACAACATGTTATTATAAGTATATACATATATACATACTGTATTGTCTGTATCTGTTATTTGATAAATATGATTGTAATCAGCCCTATGATTAGGAAAAACATATATTGGTATAAGTATATTAACATTAGTAAAAAAAATAGTAAAAAGCTAAACTTCACCAAAATGTCTGACACATTTCATTTCTATGTCCAATCGGTAATAAATTAAGACATCTTATTAACAATAATGCAAGTAAGCTGAATTGGTATACTTATGATAAAAAAATAGTTTACACTGCACAAGGTTGCTTTGACATTTATTGTTATATTCTCTCGTCTATTTCTTCTGTGCACGGATTTTGTCGTTCATCCGCTGTTTTCGGATTGTCCTATACGAAAATGAACGATTATACATTTTTAATATTTTATTATAGAAAGAAATATGCATAGATAATAGAAAAGGAGTTTAAACAATAAAATACAAATGGATATGATTTGATACGTTGCTGATTAAAAATGTCGGAGTAACAATATTTCTAAACAAAAAAAGATAATTTTTATTAAATATCATTGTAATTATCTTGTAACGACACTCATTTCAAGCAACATTTAAGCAATACACTGTCATTCCAACTACTGTGTAATGTAGTTTTTTTTAATCGATGAAGAGAGATTAATCTTTTCTATTTCATGCTTAACAATATCTCTCAATGACTTCTTTTACAGTTTAAATAAAAGGTAGAACAGGATAACACTATAATCAGAAATAATTCAACCATTACTTATAATTTATTTGTATGTTAACACAATATTGCTATGTCGTTTGCTACTATATCGACAGATATATATTTAAAGCTCTTAATTAACACTATATAAGCCATGAAAAACTCTTTTAACTGTTAAATCGTTATAACAGGCGTAAAACCACATATACACGCATGAAAAAAAAATCAAAACACCTATCAAAAAATGTTCAAAAATGAAGAAACCATAAACAAATACATTTACTCAATATCAAGCTGATGCTGTCCTCTACGCTTTTCATAGTTGCAGATATATTGTTATAAGCGTATTAATGAAAAAAAACTCAGCGCTAAAAATCACTGTTTTAAAGATTACATGTTTTACGATCAGTGATTTTTTCTTTTAGTTGTGATACAAAAAAAGGAAGAAGTCGAAAATACAATCAAAACTATTGACGAAATTGACCAAACAGTAAACAGTAAACACGAATTCATGATATGTAAGCTCTCGATTACATTGTAAATTAAGCGACATATACAGCATATAACGCAACACTTGAATGTTGATAAAGGACTTTCCGTTTTGAATTTTCCATGGAGTTCGGTATTTGTGTTAATTTACTTGTTGCTTCAGACACATGTATGTAGAATGCGTCTCTGTATTTATGGTAGGAGATATGTTAAGTTCAAAAGGATAAACTTGATAAATGTGAATTTTTGGTATGACCAAGTTTCTTATTAATCTTTGTCAATTTTATATACTCACATTTGTAGTACACTCAGTAGATAGTTTTAAATCCATGCGATTCGCGCGTCGTCTCTGGTACTCCCGGTAACCTTTCCTGACCTATACACAGTATACACATAACAATATATATGAATATAAATATTAAATATGAATAAAGTGCACCAAATTGAATACAATTGTAGGACCCAGAACACACATAACCGGGTAAGATAAAAGTCAAAAATATGTTGTACGATGCTTTATCACTTTTAATACTGATCAAGAAAAGTATTAGTCACACAACGCGTGTCACATGTAGAGCAGGATATAATATCAACCCCCTTTTAGCACAAGAGATCACAGTCTATTTTTCTTGAAGATTGTGTATCTCAGTATAACAGATTTTTTATGTTGTGTTTAATGGACCTTTGTGTCTTTTTACAATGTTCGCTTTTTTTTTTTATTTTGCAATGGCATTGTCAATATCAAAATTTGATTAGCCTGATCATTAAAAACTTTTCGAATTCGAATCATCTAAAAACAGGACACACGATCTTTATCTTGCAACGCATCTCCGTGGTCAAAAGGGAGACTACTATGTGTAATTACCGACCAATGTTACACCCTCAAGTTGCGATGAGAAACTTTTGTAATATGTATTTCAATCTATATAAAGATACGGGGGTGGTATGCATTCAAAGGATGAAGATAAAAGAACTTCCTGCAGCATGGTGAATACGATGAATAAATTATAATTTGCTCCTCGACGTAGACAATAAATGGTCATCGCTAATATATATTACCTGATCATTATGATGTATTCAATAATGAACGTCTACCATTAAGTCAAATGCCGTACCAAGGACATATTTTTCCAAAGAATTAACATCAAGTTTATCAAAATCGGGCTTCAGGGTTAGTGTGAACTGTTATTATATGTTCACATGACATTTCTTGAAACCTTTTAGACTGTATTTACAAAATAAAGTTGATATCTCAAATTAACAACTGTAATTTTGATTTTAATCCTGTGGTAGATATTAGTTACACTTAAATTTTACCAAACTGTAAACATTCGATGGTATTTATACTGTGCTTTGTTTAGAAAATCCATCTCTGTTTAGGAATAGTATTAAGGCCGATTTGATTAAGTGGGTTGGTCAATGAGACAACAACAAAGCGGTTAAATATAGTTGAATAGTTTTTTCATTTACAATTATAGAACATCTCCTTAGATTTTATGATTAAAGTTGGAAGTTTTTACCATTCAGTGATTGTATATCGATAATTAAGTTCAATCTGTTTCTTGTTTAGTAGGTGGAATGTATTGTGTGTTATTGAAATTAACGTTTCAGTCGCAAACATGTAATAATATGATAAACACAGTCAATGCTTGCTTTCCTTCGTATAACTACTTTCTATTGTTAACATAAATACCTTGTCAGTCAAGCAGCAGTTGAACACAAATATAAAGAGACCCTGTTTAAAGGATAATGAATATCAGACATTAAAACGTTCTCTTTTCTCCATATAGATTGTTGTATACAAAATACAATAGACTTATTAGTGTTTATGTCATAATATTGCCAAATGTTCAGTTAGTTGAATTATATAAAAACTTTAAGTTTTAATATAACACTTATTGGTTATAAAAAATGTTTCAACTTCCCAATTGTGAACTTTCCATTTCCCTGTAGCAACATTCCAGTAGCGCCTAAATACAGAGGATATTTATCACAGTTGATTCGATATTTTATAGCTTGGGTTTCAAATTATGAATTCCTTGATAGAAGTTACTTGCAGCTGCTAAAAATGACGCTATCAAACTAAGGTCAATCACAATCACGACGGATATTTTCCCATTGTTCTTCCCATGACCATGTTCTCTTTTTTTAGATTTTGAAATCACCTAAAGTGACTTATCACAGAATTTGTCCTTAAATGAGCAATACGCAATACGACGGGTGCCATACCTGTGGCAGGATCTGCTTACCCTTTCAGGGTACATAGGATTGTCGCCGGAGTTGGATAGGTTCCTGTTGCTCAGTCTTTAGTTTTTCTTTGATGTGTTTTGTGGTCTTTTCTATGTTTTTCTTGTTATTCTTTGACGTTGTCAATTTGTCTTCGACTTATGATTTTGATTTCCCCGTTAGTACATATTTCTTCCGCCTTCTTGTTAAATTACTTTACATTTCCAAACGAAAAAAAGGCTGCCGTTGACATATTGTTTAACTATACTTAATTGATCACAGCACCTATTGTTATCAAAAGATTGCATTTTGGTTCAAATTATCTTTAAAATTTAAAATGCGTGTTAAACATGTAGCAGTATACAGTACCTGGAGGGAGTTGAAAATTGCAAATAGGTATTGGAACATGACTAGATCATCATTCAAAGAAAATGTTCCTAGTATCCACATAACTCCAAACAACGGTAACATGACACGGATTCCTTTTAAACCAATCCTATAAAAAGACAATAATCATACAGAGTAAGAACTAAGATTGCTACTTCTTGTACAAATTTGATCTAAATAATATGTTGACCTTTCATTTAGAACCATTTTTTATAACTATTAATGATTATATTTTGTTAAATTCAGTTAACTATAACGAGCATGCTGAACGATATACATTGTATCATAAAAAAAAACATCGTGCACATGGACAGCATTATCATTTCCTTAAACTGAAGGTGTTTCTGACATATAAAAACAGCTTTATGACACAATTATGCTACCATGCTTAATCTCTTGTATTTGTAGTCATATTAATGGTCTATACAGTTTTGATTCAAATCTGATGTCAACAATCACAGCTGCTTAAGTTTATTCAATCGTGTCGTTTCCTTTTTGGTATATTTAAAGATTTATATCACATGACAAAAGATAATAAAGTATTGAAGCTTCATATTTGTAAGCAACATTTGTTTTCTACTGTAAAACATAAAATATGTGTTTGTCTTATGATAGATAAATTCTGTATAATAAACATACACTGTTTCCACGATTGGTGTTAATACTGGCGAAGGAAGTCGTGAATATTAAAAGTATTCGGCTTTTTGAAGGAGACTATCCAGTCATCATTCAGATTTTGTTTTTAGACTCCAACCGGGAAAATTCATGTATGTTTCTATCCTTAAAATTGTTAAAAAATGAATAGTCAATTGACACATTAATAGTCTCAACTCTGTGTAAGCAGTAAGCAAATGCCAAATACCCTAACCAATTCTTATTGATTGATTTTCACTGCATTGACTTTTCACACGCATTAAAAGTACAGTTTTGCAATATATCGCAACATTTTTCAATCTGTCCAATAACATATTTTTTCTGTATTTACTTTACGATATTTCCGAACTCGTTACACTTCCAAAACACACGCGTTCACTCCGATTTTCTTTGACTGAGTTCGTGTTGCTTGGTTTTTAATTTCCTATATATTTTTTTTTGAAATTTTCCATCTTGATTTTTTGTATTTCCGTTTTAGCCATGACGCTGTCAGAATAATAATTAGCGAGTTTGGAATATCTCCTCTACATTTTCCGCCTCTTTTTTTAATTAAATCGGGTTAAGAATGTTGAAACTCTAAAAGAAAGACTGGATACGTCGAAAGGGTAAGTAAGCGTCTCCAACCATGCGAATCCACATTTAGTCAAAATGTCAAAACCGGAAATGACACCATCGATAAATGGTCTTATTACACTGCATGTAAATATTGATAGTTAAATTAACATTGGATTTGTTGAGACGATCCCACTTGACATTGCAAATTTTTACATTCCCCTCTGTGTATCATATTCCCCTCTGAAATTTCAGGACTACCTCCTGCGACGTTACGCGCGATTAATGTACATACCGTTTTGAACGTTTTTCAGAATAGCGATAGTATGATTTTTGTGTTCAAAACTGTTTCAGATATAAAACAAAATATAAAAAAAGTTTAACCTGTAATAGAATAAATTATTAACTTCTGATTGGTAATGCTTAAAGTTTATGTCGTATTTAGTTAAAAAAAAAAGCGGATAAAAAAGTGTATGGACATTAATACTATATGTTCATGAAGTTATTAAAAGTATAGACATTGGAATAAAACATTTATTTCCCTTGGCTTAGGGAGATATGAAGATTTGTTCACCTAAGAAAATCATATTTCCCGACGGCATCGCCCGTTAGAAGTAACCAGATGGAATGTCCCAGCTGCAACGGAACAGCCAAGTGTTAAACGACATTATGTGCCTGCATCAATTCACGCAACGTTGGCCAAAATATAAAATAACAAACATACCGAACTCCAAGGAGATTTCAAAACGGAAAGTTCCTTATAAAATTGCAAAATCAAAAGCGCAGACACATCAAATTAATGGAAAACAACAGTCATATTCCTGACTTGGTACAGACATTTCCTTATGTAGACAATGGTGGATGTTGATTGGGATATGTTGAACTCCCTAATCAGTTTTGGTTTATACCGTTATTTTTGTATGATTGTTGCCTTCGACTATTCCCTGATAGTCATCAAATGTTTTTTTCTTTCTTCCTTTTAATCGAAAAAGTGATGGAGCTCAAATATCATAAATGCATCAATTCCATTTTCGAAAATATTAACCTATGAAATCCGCTTCCGGTAAATAAAAAAAAATACATCTGCCCTTCCAATTATTTGGACATTTTATCTTATTTTTAATATACCAAAGTAGTTTAAACTGATTCCACAATTAGATAATAATAACATTAAGGGTATCAATGATAGATCCTGACAAATATGATTACCAAAAAAAAACTTACTTAGATTTCTCTTTAGGTGTTTTCGCAGCTACAGCTTGAACGGTCATCGTTTTATACAGAACAATAATGATGACAATAACATTAATCTGAATTATACGATATAAAAACCAAATGCATGATTGACAATTCAAAATAACTTAAAAAAACGAATTTCTTGTTGGAGTTACAAAATGTTTAGTTCTCTCAATTGGATACAGTAAATATTTCAAAGAATCAAACGTTCAGAATAATGAATGATTAATAATTTCAAAAGGGAAGATAAAGAATTTAAAAAAAACAATACAATTATGTCATACGTTTATACAGTGGTGTATTCACATTTTATCATATTAATATGGAAAAGAATTGGTACCGTCAATGTTATATTGTCACTAGAAGTATCAACCTATTCATAAATTTAAGATATTGACAGTAACTGATTCATTTTGCATGAGCATATCCAGTTAATCGAGCGTCTTATTTATATGATACTGAAATGACTTTTATGTTTGACAAACTGTGCTTTGGGTGGATTAGGCTATCATGATGAGGGACTTGCAGGTTTTATTTACTCAAAATGTTTTAAAGTTTTGCTATCAAACTGTTTTTGTCGATAGTTATTGATAAAGTAGAATATGTAATGTGCATGTGAATAGCATACGTTGGTTCCACGCATACACGTATTCTATTTCTTATAAAGCGTCAACAGTTTCAGAATTCCTCGGCTTGTTCACATGTTTAACACTGTTGTTAAAATTGAAAATGTTAATTCTTGGTCAGAATGAATAAAAGAAAAACCTAGTTATTCATGTGTTCCTTCTGCATTACATTTTGCAAGAGGAGTGTGCGACATTTGTAAACGCTGCGTTTCAGGTTACATTCATTCATTTGTATGAAAGATCATGATTAGAATGAAAGAAAAAACGACAATTGCACAATTAAAATTTTATCATAATAGTCTAGAGTCCTTAATGTTATCGAACGGCTACCTTACATACATACCAGAATTACAAATAATGCTGGTCCAATGAACGCCCAGATGAGGTTTGTTTCAGGGGTTAACCAACAACTGAAATGATAAAAAGCAATCCATGTTAGGATCGTGTATGCATGCATGTCTTTTTTTTCCATTGATTTTCAAATGTTAAGACAATGGATACTTGAAAAAACAAATAGAATTAAAAACAGAGATATACATGTAATTCAAAATACGAATTAATTATTTCCGAATGGTTTTTACTTCTTTTTGTTATTAGATCATTATCACATTTTGAATTATCCAATATAAATCAATTATTAGTTCGATTTTACTAAAATCACGATCAATTATGAAGTATGTCACATCGTGATCACTGACACCTCTTACAATAGGTATCGTGTCTTTATCTGAAACATGTATTGAATATTAAGTGACTAAGAAATGGTCGAGTAAAGACGCGCTATCTGATCGTGTGTCAAAATGAGAAGCTTTGTCAATAATGTTGATAACGCCGTAAATGAACATCGTATCTTTCTTTTACGGAAGGTCTGATATAAAATGTTTGTTTAGATTCCTTACGCAAATTATACAAGTACTTTTTTCCAGGGTGTTTTTCGATATTTGACCAAAATACTGCCAGAAATAAACTGAATATTGCCGTTGCGACCTACAATTTATAATGATCAATATCGATCAGATTTTGGTTTTTAACTGAAACCACATACTCTCAATTTGCAATGCTCTAAGTTGTCGACGAATAATTTAAAGTACATAATAATGCCACCCTCCACGAGATGTTCTATCTTTTTGAACTGTTCTTTCAAATCCCGATATGCATCTATCAAAATATGTAATATTGGAGTCTAAATGCGTCTCTACAAGAATAACACATTGTAATCCTCAATAATATTGGCAATTAAAATAAATTTATTTCTAAAGCTTCTAATACAACCATTGAAATTGACAATATTTTCTCAGATATTTCTGGTGTATCTTAATTACCTAAAATTCTCCCATGCAATTGTTCATGAAATGTACTTTTCTGTAAAGTGACAACAATGTAACGGAAACAAAAGAACAAAAAGGAATTTCGTTTTAAAACATGGAACTTATGATAATACGTATAAAACAAATGAACTAAAACTTCAAACAAATCATGGTAGAATTAAAACAACAGTTTCATTTAAGCAACAGTCATTTAAACTGAGGTTGGGATACTGAAATTTTTTTTTAACATAATTCTTATATGTTATACTTGTTGTTTACATGCTATTGTAATGTTTGTTTTTAAGTTAAAATCTGATAAATGAATTCGTTCTGTCTTTTTGTCTGTTTGCAGATTTGGTTTTTATTGCATATCTACTACATGTCATAGTCATTGTAAAATGTGATTATGTTATATACTGGGCAATTTACGGATTACCATGTTGTATGAAAATCTACTGCTTAAGACCAATATTAACGTCTAGGTATTGTTTCATGTTTAGCGGTTTAGTTTTAATTGTTGGCAACAGATAACATGGTATTCTTAAAATATTCAGTAAGACATCTGCACTTAAAAAGTCAATACTAATTTGTTTTTGCAGAAACAACTTAGTAATAAATATGTGATTAAAAACTTCACAATTACCACAAGCATAAACGATTTTTTCTTTAAATTATTGTCTATATCAGTTAATTTGATACTACGCTGTAGTTAATCCGTGCTGGTCCATTCATTCCTTGTCCGAAAGTAACTAATTTGTTGTAAGGAGCATTCACAAATTGGACACTTAAAACTCTAGTTTGGTTAACATAATTTAATAGACTAAAAGGAAATAATCTTTTGAGTTTCTCAGATGTCCGAAAATTAAATAATTAACTGAATAGCTGAATATGGTTTATTACATTTTCAAAAAAATAAATTTAAACAAGAAAGCAAATTTTAAACCTAAACCTTGGGATAGAAAAATTCGTCCGTACGCAATGCATCTAGTATACGAAATAAAGTGACACTTCACCATCTTCCAGACCAAATAAATCAATATCGTTCTCTGTCCTAACGATAGTATACAAACTGTACATTGTTATCATCCTAATGAATATACATTATAGGTAAGTTGAGACTTAAATCGGACAACAAAATCATTTTGGTTGGGCTGCTGTCTCCATGACGTATTCCCCACATTTGTTTAAATAAAAGGAATACCGGGCCTTGGTAGTCATTTAAAGGTCGTTAATAGAGACCAACGACGGTTAGAATATCAAAATCAACAATACAAATTAAAAAAACTTTGGTTATGATCACCGACAAACAGATCATGATACCAAACAAAGCACGCTATTTATACATTTTGCACTTCATGGTTAACTATATTACTCAGAAAAGTGTATAGCTTTCAAAAAAGAGTGTGAGAATGATAATCCCAAAACCTGACCGACGACGAAAATACAAACATGTGCAACAACATATAGTTATCAATACTGAAATATTGTTAGCGGCAATGCTTAACGTTTTAGATATTCTGCAAAATCAAATCTTAATGTATCTTTGTAATTTTCAGTTCAATTCTAGAGTTGAAACAGAACGTTCTTTCACAAAAAAAAAATATGTCATGAACATCAAAAGCGTTCATATACATACAATATAGATTTTTAAAAGAAATATGGAAGGAATTATTTCCCTTTTTTCCAGATACCAAATTCAGTTGCAACAGTCTGTAAATGAAAAAAAAATGCATGGCGTAGGACATGTGTGGAAGTTAATGCTTTAAAAGGTAAATTAACGAAAATTTCGAACTTCAAGGCAAATTCAAAACCAAAAGTCCCATAACACATGGTAAAATCAAAAGCTCAAACACATCAAACGAGTGGAAAACCACTGTCATATTCCTGACTTTTCATATTCCTTTCATATATATTAAATGCAAACCAAGACAACTGTATTGAATAACCATTTGTTTTTTAGATTCCGCCTTAAATAGAACATTTTCATAGAGATGAAAAACAATGTAAAAGTTGGCGAAAACAAGAAATTAAACAATATGCAATGTGTACACAAAGGACATCACCTAATATGTAGACTTCATAACACTTTTAAAGGATTAACAGCAAACCCCATCAACTAAATATTAAACTGGTTTTAGATGAATTTTTTTAAAGATAGATTTAATTGGTTCGTGAAAGCGTTCTAACTTTCGAGGGAAGGAAGTCATGGATTCAACTCCCGACCAGCTCAATTCAAAAACCTTAAGCATTAGTATTGTCGCCTTTCAGATAATCACTCAGTATTTCTGCATTCGTTCTGAATAAGATTGAATGTTGGGCGCACTGTGTGAGATTATCGTGTTCGGGAAGGATAAGATGCGGACTTCAGCCTTGTTAATGGTATGTTAAAATTCTGGTTCATATTACTTTCACATTAACATGTTACCATCCTCAATATGCGTGACATTGTCTACTAGACGTACATGATTCGTCAATCAATATCATCCTTATTATTTTATTATGCTTGCATTTCATTTTTTTTGTTAATTCTTTTGGAAACAACATACATTTTCTACTGCTTACCGTTTTGTTTTATGTATAATGTACTATTGTATAATTACGGCATAATACGTACAACTGTTGATTGCCATATCCTTTAAGTTTAGTCACACCAGCAGAAATTCCAACTATACCAGCAGGCACAACTGGAAATAGATATATCCCAACTCGTTCTTTATGCCCGTGTATGTAGTGATGTCATAGATTTTGACGAACGTAATCAATGCATCACATGTAAATTATTAAGTCGGGGATTTCGTCACCATAAATTACTTAAAACATTTACTAAATTCTTTCATAGATACAAAGTAGATTTGACTATACCTGTAGAAAACTTATACAAAACTGAATTTCACATCCTACATTTTACGGTATTGTTGTACTTAGAGCGCGGACATCACTATGTGATCCGTGTAAACTCATAGAACCTTTAAACAAACTTATTAGTAAATGTTATTTTATTAATGTTGTAATAAGATCTTTGAATATTGTTCACATTGGCACTAACATCGATTTTGTCATCAACAAATTAAATATAACTAAATTTTCATTATTCTCGAATGTTTTTTTGGGGGATGTATAAATACACATCCACGTTTATTTTCTATTTAGAGATTGCTTTATCTATATATAACATGATACATATTTATGGTTGACTCCTAACTATTCTACTGCCTGTCGATACTTTCATTTTGGCATTGAACATTTCATGTCTTCTTTGACTGTCTATGGCGTTAAAACACTAAATCCCTGGGATGTGTTTTAATTGATTTTAGTCTCTAATGCATGAGTTTTAATTATTAATTGTTTTTGGCTTTTAACTAGATTTCAGTAAAGGCGAGTACTCTCAAATCGTACGTTCGTTTTAATTTGACCTGTTGACACAATTTGTAATGCATTTCTGTTATTCAATGTTTACTTATTTTGTGTTATATCTCGTCTCACTATTATCAATATGTTTCACCTTTGATAAGTATTTAGTATGACGATAAATTTTCACTTCTGTACTCGTACTGTGAACAACAGATTTATTTATTTTGTAAAAAATATTTCCGTACTCCTAACAACAAAATTATTATATTTAAATTTACCTGTGTACGTTACTTTATTTAACGCAATTTTGTCCTAGGTTAAAGTTGTCTTTTTGACATTGTTCTACATCTTTTTTATTAATATTGTATTTATATTGTTTCATAGCTCAAACTTATTCGTTCAGTGTATGTTTACTTGATTTTGTTTATATGTTTTTGATCGAGTTAAGCCATTTCAATTGATATTTTATAGTGTGTCTTTTTATGTTGTAATGTTACAATACTGCTCCAGGTTAAGGTGAAGGTTGGGGCATGTTAAAACGTTTAAACCCACTGCATTTGTATGCACCTGTCCTAATTTAGGAGCCTGTTGTTCAGTGATTGTCGTTTGTTGGTGTGGTTCATAAGTGTTTCTCGTTCTCGATTTTAATATACATTAGACCGTTGGTTTTCCTGTTTGAATTGTTTTACACTAGTCATTTAGGGGGACATTTATAGCTTGCTGTTCGGTGTGAGCCAAGGTTCCGTGTTGAAGGCCGTACTTTGACCTCTAATTGTTTACTTTTTAAACATTTTGACTTGGATTGAGAGTTGTCTCATTGGCACTGATATCACATCTTCTTATTTATATTTAGTCCTTTTTATCGAGCGAAGCCTACTGACAATTTTTGTAAGTTCAATAAGAATAGTGCAATATGTTTTGAAATCCGTTGTTCATGTTACTACCCTTGTTTCGAAAAGAATGTTTGTTCCACGGTTTGTGATTTTTAAATGTTTATTAATAATGTCTGTCCTGTACTGACGTGTTATAATTATACCAAAATATTTTATCATTTCATTTGTTACTATGCAAGAATGAATGTTTATTGGATGGAGAGTTGTCTCATTGGCACTCATACCACATTTTCTTATATCTATTTGCAGTGATCTTTTTGTCCTAATATCGAACAAGCAATATTTCATATGGCATTGCAAATAAGTCATCCGGGTGTGTTGTTTGTTTTATTAAAACGGATATTTTCTTTGACAAATATGCTACTACGGATAAGAAATATTTTATCGCTGTCAATTGGGAATGTATCTGTAAATGTGTTTGTATACTTACTCCAACATGCTGGTATTAGCAAATGAACTACGGAATTTTGGTTGAACATAAACACTACCATTTTCACATAAATAATACCCTCAGCCAGCATCAGAGCAAAGTCTGTGAGGAACATATAGTGCAAAGCAATTGCAATCACTGAACATACAATCTAAAATAAGATATAACTAAATACAGTAAAAAATTAAATAATGTTAAAAATTTTTGAAGGCAGTAAAACTATCTTATTAACATTTGCTATTAAACCTGCATCTTCCTAAATATATCTTCAAAAATACTACCTTTTTGCGACCGATTTCTATAAACAAATTGTTGGCAATTATTTGTGACTACCTTATGAAAGTTATGATAGGATCATGTGTTTTAAGAATTGCACCCGGTATCATAAGAATGCTTCATTATGATTTTTAGTCCTGAAAAGTACAGCCAACGCAGTAGTTATAGCTACTTTGATAGCACAATTAAAAATATGCAAATTTGAGTTATAACTCCTTTATACTATATTGTTCTGTATATTGTATGTCTATTATTTTTTGACGTAATAGAACTAAATAAAGGCAACAGTAGTATACCGGTGTTCAAAAGTCATAAATCGATTGAGAGAAAACAAATCCGGGTTACAAACTAAAACCGAGGGAAACACATCAACTACAAGAGGAAAACTGAAGTGCAACAAAAACAAACGCCAACAAACATAGAAACGAACTATTTGATAACAACTGCCATATTCCTGTTTCTAACATTCTTGTTTTCTTTTTTGACCGGAAATTTCTTTGTCACTTACTTTTTTTAGTTCGTGTGTTGCTGTTTTTGTTCTCATAAAGTTCTTTGTTTTTGCTTTCATCGAACTTGGGGAATCTTCATATAGAAATACTTATCAGGTTCAAAGTAAACAGTATACACCTTTACATATGGATAGCTTGGAGTGTCCTTGAGAGAACTGATCGATAAATAGCTTGTGCAATGGTATTGACATGCTTTACACTATACATTCTGAATATAAGCAATAATTTGAAATACATATATGTGTGCCAAAACTTAGGTTACCGTTGTTGGTTACAATTTATGGACATCACGATGCTTAGGATTGAAATATTCGTTTTGCTTAACTACCGTTTTTAGCGGGCATGGTAACTTATTGGTGAGCACCAACGTTCTTTTTCATATGTTAATTAAGTATTATGTTTGTTTTGACTCAGCCACTAATAAGACAATTGACTTAGCCACTATTCTGACAATTGAATGAATATTGCCCCAACTTTCAGGCTTTAGTTTTCTATGTTCTAGACCTGGATGACCGGGGTTTAGAAATATGGTCACTTAGGTCGTCTTCTGACAGGCTGTAAAACCTTTGCCAAACTGGGCATCTGTTTAGCTGTCCGGAATGTACAAGTTCAAAGTCACTTCCGATCAGAATAGGGACGGCAAATCACATGCCACGTGTAAAGAGAGTGCCATGCTCTCTGTACGTTAGGAACCCATGCATAAACTCTTTGAGGGGTCCGTATGACGCATGTTGCAAGGAAAAGTTTATGTTCATATTAAATATACCCTCATTTTCAAGTGGCAGTCAACCTTTCCTCGACCTCAATCCTGGACGGCCGCTAATACGGAACTTACCTTATGTATATATTGTACATTTGTTCTCGTCCTAAACATGTATGAAATATTTGCCACTTGACATTAAGGTGGTTCATTGGTATATATTTCCTGACATAGAATTGTCTTATACTTTGCCAAAATGAAGATTTTACCATGCTTTTTTTCAAAAATATAATACAAAGTATGGGTCACAGTGCTATTTTTCAAGCTTTTTTTCAAGTCGTGCAAACTTACCGAAATGTGCATAGATTGATCATGAAAAAACATATTTTTGTGAATAAAAAGAAATCATGAGATAGAATTTTGAAATAAAATATGAAAAGATAGTTTTTATGATATGCTTTTAAGAAAATGAAAACCAAACTTGTTTTCTTGCTACAAGTAAAAAATTAAAATTTCACTATCATTCCAGTATAAAATTTTACTGTAAGAGCTATCTCCCCATAAATGGCCAAGTTGGAAAATTGATTACAAAAAAACACAAATATTTTGGTATTTGTTTTCACAATTTGGATAATGCAGTAAACCACTTATTTTTCTTTATACAAATAAACAGTCTTACACATAAATTGCAAATCTGTCTCAAAATTTGCAGACTTAGGCAAAGAACTAGACCGATTGTGTACTGCTATTGTACAATCCAAGATGGCGGTTTACAGTGAATCTACCTTAAGCAAATGATTTATGTAGTGGTCGGAGTTTTTTGTTGTTTTTTTTTTTTTTTTTTATTTTGTCGTTTTTCCTCTTTTTTGCCATGGCATTGTCAATTTGTCTTCGACTAATTTGTTTCCATATTAAAGTAGTATCTTCTTCCTTTTTCAGTTCTGAATCAAATATATCACTAGTTATTTACTATATGACTATGTTTAGGTTTTTCTTACTTCATTTTCTGTTTGTGTTATACCAGCTAAGAATATGACATACGACAGAATTAATGCCACACATAAGTTCATTAGTGTTTTTGGTCCATCAGCGCTCACATCACTGATCATATTTCTGCTCATGTCTCTGCTCACATCTCTGCAAAACAATAACAGAAAAGATGAACATACGAGTCTTGAATCTACCATTGGTGTTTTGCGCATCTTTAAGAATAAAGCCTATATTTCTTAATGTGAAGGGGAAAATCAAATCTGATTACGCCGAATACATTGAAGTTTTGTGCTTTATTTAGAAACAATGACACTTAACGTCTTCGTAGTTGCTACTCGCATAAAGACATTAACATTGTATATGGAAACAAAAATGTTAATATATGGGAAACATGTAAATCAAGAATTTATGTTGTAATTGTAGTAGTGTATAAAACAAGAGGACAACGATTGTCTCATTATACATAAAGAAAAAAAGAATAAGTCAAAAATTGTAATTTTTTTGATATTTTGATTGATTGGTAAAAACTCATTCCTGTCAGCTGATAATATTAAATACATCTCAATGACAACAACTTTATTTTAATTACAACAATGTATAATTTCTATATGTATAACTTACCTCCAAAATACAACATGAATGATAATTGTGATGACCAGAAATAAAATTGACACTCCACATCCGATAGCTGATATAAGACTCAGTGGAAAGTGGTGAGGCAATGGCTTGTAAAAATATAAAAGTTATATTTAAATAATTTGGAATACTTCTGCAGACTAGTAATAATACACTGTCTAAGCAGTATATCGATGTGTCTGCGTTAATCACAAACTAAAACAGGTACACATTCAACTTGTCGGGAAAAGACCAGAAGAAAATACCAGAAATGTATTCAAACGCATCAAAGTGTTTGCATGGTTGAATATAAACATTTTTCATTAAATTACTTAATTAAATAGAAATAATGTCAACAGATTACTGATACACCATATACCATAAAAAAATGTATTGCAAGATTGCGTTTAAGATCCTCGGAAATTGGAAATCAGAAATATAGAGTGTTCCTCTAGCGTCGGTACAACAGATTAATTCAGACAAAGTTAGAACTTATCAAGAACAAAATTAGTAACTCCCTATACGAATGGTATGAGAAGTGCTCACTGCAGAAACTAAATTTAATTTAAACATGTGTACACATGCAAATAATCCAAAAATCACTTCACTTCAAAACACAATATATTCTATTTGTCATCACTACTTGTCTTTCATATCGCAAAACATCAAATACTAAGAAAGAACATATAGTAAGAGTAATATCAATGTACTTTTTAAAAATACAATAAAGATATCTGATACATGATTTGAGAAATATATAGCAATTTGTTAAACTCAAGGTGTAATCATTGTAAATGCAGGTATACGGATATGTGAGAAAACGTCAAACGCAAAAATCAAAAAAATATCAATAACTCTTATAAAAAAGACAAATCTGTGATGTCCAAATAGATGTTACAACAGTTGTAGGTGCTTGACTTGCATTGCTTACTTTTCAGAATGAGGTATGTTTGTCAAGGACACATGTCGACGATGAAAGTTTATGTGTGGTATTATGAATATCGTACAATTTAAAAAATCGACAGATGTATACATATTTATGTGATGTCTTAATTTAAAACTTTGATAAATAATTTAGCAGAGGTAATTAACATACTGTCTTTCCTGGGCTCATCAATATGGCAAAATTAGTTGTGTGATTATATTCACATATCGTGTAAGAGTCAGCAGCATCAACAACTCGTGAACCAAAGGACGACCACGCTCCATTTCTAGTATTCCTATGAAATAAAACACATATCGCAAATTCTGTATTTTTGTTTAAGTAATAAATTTGGACGAAATCCCATTTCTTATATAAGACACAATTTGTTTTACACCATTGTTCAAGTTTAGAGGAGGCTTGAGTGAACATTACTTAACCACATCCGTTTGTTTCTCCTCCATAGTTGTTTTTCGTTTATCACTTAAGCAGAAAGTATATTGATTCTCGTTTTTTCGTCTCATGGCATCTTATAGTTTACTATACCGTATCCGTTTGTTTCTACTCCATAGTTGTTTTTCGTTTATTATTTGAACAGAAGGTATATTGGTTCTCGATGTGTGATGCATGTTATAGTGTACTATACCGTATGTGCTTTGATCATTGTTATAGCTTACATCTCATCATATGGTTTCTGGTAGGAAGTAGTCTCATTGGCCATCATTACAAATGTCCTTCCTTTTTTTAAGACTTTAATACTTACGTAGCATTGAAATCCCAATGTCCACAAAATGGTCTAGTGTACTTTCCCTTATTAAAAGAATATAAAAAGAACATTTTTATTCTTAACATTTTAGCAATGCCATCGTCTTGTTTCTTTTGCATATTTGTCATGTTATTAGATTTTGCATAAACAACAACCTATCTTAGGGAGTTTTAAGTTCGGAAAAATAGCTAGAAAGGTGTTTCATAGTTATATGTTATCATTATTGTGTTGCCTGCAGGTTTTAACGGTTTGACTCGCCCAAGAAGACTTTGAATTATTAATAAAAAAATCATTGTATCTTCCAAAAAATATGATCAAAATAATAAAAGGAATAAAAATCGAAACAAACTGATGATTTCTTTAAAAGGTCGTTTCTACAGCAATCATTTCTGTATATGTAAGGCATTTATGATATAGACATTATAACTTGTTTATGAAAATGCAAGGAAACTAAAGTTTGACTAGTAACCATCTATGCAAAAACTTGATGCAATAAGACAGTTTAGTAAAACAATAGATAAAATGTACAGTGACAGAACAATACTTATAAATCATTAAAATACAACAATACTTACCAAAAGGTGATCGAATCTTATAATTAAGGAATAATCCGAACAAGACGTTCCATGGATCGTAAAATCAGCTATGATAGAATTAACATCATAACTACCATTAAATGACTCTATTTTCCTGTAAATAAAATAATCTAAATTATAATTCGAATATATCAAGCAAATTAAATAAGCGTGTTGATTTATTGATTGTTTAATGTCATTATCAGCAAATTTTTATATATCATAGCGGCCAGTGTTTTTAAAGGAAGCCGAATAGCTCGTCGAGAACCACAGAATATAGGAAGGAAAGCTGACAATCGTAGTAAAATAAGATCGGAGTAAAGCTAATTGTTTTTAAATATGCACGATATAAAACTGGTAACAAAGGTAATTTCACATTGTAAAAAAAGGCAAATGACATTACAGTCCTTGGATGGTGTAAACTTCCCACTCACACCATACACCATTACACCATTCACCATACACCATTACACCATACACCTTGTGCCATTACACCATACACGTTACACCTTTGCACCATACACCTTACACATTACACCATACACCATTCCCCATTCTATCTACACGATCCGAAATTACCCATAATGCAATTAAATTTCAAAGAAAGCGTGCGACTACAAAATCATTTATTTGATTTAAAAAACGAATTTTGATCACAATATTGTAAATTAATGTATAAAATTAAAATCTCCGTGGTCATGCCTATGATGGTTATATAAACAATACAGATTAAATATATATACATGTATTTGTAAATAAAGTACGCATAAAACTTTGCTTGTAATGCAAATTTATCCGCGATCTGCCTATCTATAAATTAAAAACGATATTGGTTACAATGCTATTATTATCGGTTTAAACATGTATCGTAAATCTTATAAACTTGGTTTTCAGATAAAATCGACAAACAATGCCAAAAATGAATACTTCAGGATGACTGGTACATGTACAACATGTACAACAAAATTATTTTAAGCATCAACCAAAACTGACCATATTTGAACTTATAATTACAAAATTGAGAATGGAAATGGGGAGTGTGTCAATCTGTTAATTTATATAGGGTTAAAAAATTTGGAAATATTTTTGCCCTCCTTTTATTAAAAATATTGTCTCGCTACATAATTTCAGTAATTTTGATACCTCAGGCTAACTCGTATAACAAAATTATTTAACTCATCAACCAAAACTGACCATAATATTTTCACTTTATTATATAGATCTATATAGCCGCATAGTAAATCAGCAATATTTTGATGTCAGGGTGGATTGTATAATACAAATGACAGCAACATTGCAAAACAACATGTACAATGACAAAAATTTGTCCCCATCAATCTAGATTGCCAGCATGTCCTCTTTTTATTCAATATATTGTCTCGCAACAAAATTTCAGTAGTTTTGATACCTCAGGTTGACTCGTATAACAAAATTATTTTAACGCATCAACAAAAACTGACCATATTTGCACTTTATTATGTATATCTATAAAGCCACATAGTAAATCAGCAATATCTTGTTGTCAGGATGGATTGTATAACACAAATGACAGCAACAGTGCAATACAATGACAACAAAAATTTGTCCTGATCAATCTAGATAGCCAGCATGACCTCTTTTATTCAAAATATTGTCTCGCAAGAAAATTTCAGTAGTTTTGATACCTCAGGCTGACTCGTATAACAAAATTATTTTAAAGCATCAACCAAAACTGACCATATTTGCACTTTATCATGTAAATCTATATAGCCGCATAGTAAATCAGCAATATTTTGATGTCAGAATGGATTGTATAATACAAATGACAGCAACATTGCAACATAATGACGACAAAAAATATACCCATCAATTTAGATAGCCAGCATGTCCTCTTTTTAATTAAAATATGGTCTCGCAACAATTTTTCAGTAATTTTGATACCTAAGGCTGACTAGTATAACAAAATTATTTAAACACATCAACAAAAACTGACCATATTTGCACTTTATTATGTATATCTATATAGCTGCATAGTAAATCAGCAATATTTTGATGTCAGGATGGATTGTATAATACAAATGACAGCAACATTGCAATATAATGGCAACAAAAATTTGTCCCCATCAATCTAGATAGCCAGCATGTCCTCTTTTTATTCAAAATATTGTCTCGTAAGAAAATTTCAGTAGTTTTGATACTTCAGGCTGACTTGTATAACAAAATTATTTTAAAGCATCAACCAAAACTGACCATATTTGCACTTTTAATATTATGTATATCTATATAGCCACATAGAAAAGCAGCTATATTTTATTGTCAGAATGGGTTGCATTATACAAATGACAGCAACATTGCAACACAATGACAACAAAAATTATCCCCATCAATTAAGATTGCCAGCATGTCCTCTTTTTATTCAAAATATTGTCTCGCAACAAAATTTCAGTAATTTTGATACCTAAGGCTGACTAGTATAACAAAATTATTTAAACGCATCAACAAAAACTGACCATATTTGCACATTATTATGTATATCTATATAGCCACATAGTAAATCAGCAATATTTTGATGTCAGGATGGATTGTATAATACAAATGACAGCAACATTGCAATACAATGACAACAAAAATATATTCCCATCAATCTAGATAGCCAGCATGTCCTCTTTTTATTCAAAATATTGTCACGCAACAAAATTTCAGTAGTTTTGATACCTCAGGCTGACTCGTATAACAAAATTATTTAAACGAATCAACCAAAACTGACCATATTTGCATTTTATTATTATGAAATCTATATAGCCGCATAGTAAATCAGCAATATTTTGTTGTCAGAATGGATTGCATTATACAAATGACAGCAACATTGCAACACAATGACAACAAAAATTTGTCCCCATCAATCTAGATAGCCAGCATGTCCTCTTTTTATTCAAAATATTGTGTCACAAGAAAATTTCAGTAGTTTTGATACCTCAGGCTGACTCATATAACAAAACTATTTTAAAGTATCAACCAAAACTGACCATATTTTCACTTTATTATGTAAATCTATATAGCCGCATAGTAAATCAGCAATATTTTGATGTCAGGATGGATTGTATAATACAAATGACAGCAACATTGCAATACAATGACAACAAAAATTTGTCCCCATCAATCTAGATAGCCAGCATGTCCTCTTTTTATTCAAAATATCGTCTCGTAAGAAAATTTCAGTAGTTTTGATACCTCAGGCTGACTTGTATAACAAAATTATTTTACAGCATCAACCAAAACTGACCATATTTGCACTTTTAATTTTATGTATATCTATATAGCCACATAGTAAAGCAGCTATATTTTATTGTCAGAATGGATTGTATAATACAAATGACAGCAACATTGCAACACAATGACATCAAAAATTATCCCCATCAATTAAGATTGCCAGCATGTCCTCTTTTTATTCAAAATATTGTCTCGCAACAAAATTTCAGTAATTTTGATACCTAAGGCTGACTAGTATAACAAAATTATTGAAACGCATCAACAAAAACTGACCATATTTGCACATTATTTTGTATATCTATATAGCCACATAGTAAATCAGCAATATTTTGATGTCAGGATGGCTTGTATAATACAAATGACAGCAACATTGCAATACAATGACAACAAAAATTTATTCCCATCAATCTAGATAGCCAGCATGTCCTCTTTTTATTCAAAATATTGTCACGCAACAAAATTTCAGTAGTTTTGATACCTCAGGCTTACTCATATAACAAAACTATTTTAAAGTATCAACCAAAACTGACCATATTTGCACTTTGTTATGTAAATCTATATAGCCGCATAGTAAATCAGCAATATTTTGATGTCAGGATAGATTGTATAATACAAATGACAGCAACATTGCAATACAATGACAACGAAAATTTGTCCCCATCAATCTAGATAGCCAGCATGGCCTCTTTTTATTCAAAATATTGTCTCGCAAGAAAATTTCAGTAGTTTTGATACCTCAGGCTGACTCATATAACAAAACTATTTTAAAGTATCAACCAAAACTGACCATATTTGCACTTTATTATGTAAATCTATATAGCCGCATAGTAAATCAGCAATATTTTGTTGTCAGAATGGATTGCATAATACAAATGACAGCAACATTGCAACACAATGACAACAAAAATTTGTCTCCATCAATCTAGATTGCCAGCATGTCCTCTTTTTATTCAAAATATTGTCTCGCAAGAAAATTTCAGTAGTTTTGATACCTCAGGCTGACTCATATAACAAAACTATTTTAAAGTATCAACCAAAACTGACCATATTTGCACTTTATTATGTAAATCTATATAGCCACATAGTAAATCAGCAATATTTTGATGTCAGGATAGATTGTATAATACAAATGACAGCAACATTGCAATACAATGACAACAAAAATTTGTCCCCATCAATCTAGATAGCCAGCATGGCCTCTTTTTATTCAAAATATTGTCTCTTAAGAAAATTTCAGTAGTTTTGATACTTCAGGCTGACTTGTATAACAAAATTATTTTAAAACATCAACCAAAACTGACCATATTTGCACTTTTAATATTATGTATATCTATATAGCCACATAGTAAAGCAGCTATATTTTATTGTCAGAATGGATTGTATAATACAAATGACAGCAACATTGCAACACAATGACAAGAAAATATATCCCCATCAATTTAGATTGCCAGCATGTCCTCTCTTTATTCAAAATATTGTCTCGCAACAAAATTTCAGTAATTTTAATACCTAAGGCTGACTAGTATAACAAAATTATTTAAACGCATCAACAAAAACTGACCATATTTGCACATTATTATGTATATCTATATAGCCACATAGTAAATCAGCAATATCTATATAGCCACATAGTAAATCAGCAATATTTTGATGTCAGGATGGATTGTATAATACAAATGACAGCAACATTGCAATACAATGACAACAACAATTTGTTCCCATCAATCTAGATAGCCAGCATGTCCTCTTTTTATTCAAAATATTGTCTTGCAACAAAATTTCAGTAGTTTTGATACCTCAGGCTGACTCGTATAACAAAATTATTTAAACGAATCAACCAAAACTGACCATATTTGCACTTTATTATGTAAATCTATATAGCCGCATAGTAAACAACAATATTTTGATGTCAGAATGGATTGCATTATACAAATTAAATGACAGCAACATTGCAACACAATGACAACAAAAATTTGTCCCCATCAATCTACATGTAGATAGCCAGCATGTCCTCTTTTTATTCAAATATTGTCTCGCATGAAAATTTTAGTAGTTTTGATACCTCAGGCTGACTTGTATAACAAAATTATTTTAAAGCATCAGCCAAAACTGATCATATTAGCACTTTATTATGTCATGTATGTAAATCTATATAGCCGCATAGTAAATCAGCATATAGCCGCAAAGTAAATCAGCAATATTTTGATGTAAGGATGGATTGTATAATACAAATGACAGCAACATTGCAATACAATGACAACAAAAATTTGTCCCCATCAATCTAGAAAGCCAGCATGTCCTCTTTTTATTAAAAATATTGTCTCGCAAGAAAATTTCAGTAGTTTTGATACCTCAGGCTGACTCGTATAACAAAACTATTTTAAAGTATCAAACAAAACTGACCATATTTGCACTTTATTATGTAAATCTATATAGCGGCAGCTGCATAGTAAATCAGCAATATTTTGATGTCAGGATGGATTGTATAATACAAATGACAGCAACATTGCAATACAATGATAACAAAATCTTGTCTGCTTTAATTTAGATTGCCAGCATTTCATCTCTGTATTCGTTATATAAAACTGTCACTAAAGTCAGTATCAGTATCTGTATTTCCCACTTCCATGACTTCTGAATATGGACGGGTACATCACAGATTCCTTTTGGGCTATTGTGTGATGGGTTGGTCTGCGCATAAATTTGTCGTGCTTGCTGAGGTGTGATGATTTAAACTCAGTAGTTCAGGATAGTTTGTATAATAAAACTATTCCACCTCATCATCCAACAGTGTGACTGACATGACAGATTTCATTTGTACTTTATAATGAAAAGTATGAGAAGTTCTCTTCTAGGAAAAGTATACTGTTAGTATATTATGTCGGTTGGTTGATTTTGTTGGTGGTTAAATATCAAGTGGCAAATATTTCATTCCGTTTCACATAAGTATATTTTTTCGGACGTTCAAGATATCATTTATAATCCGTAAAGACAAATCTAACGAAATTGACGAGATTGTTCATAATTATACAACACCTTATGTGCAATAACACTGTACAATTTTCCTTTGAACATTTTTTTGGAAAACAGAATCGTAAATCCAAGGCAAACATAGGTGAATGACGATAAGATATTATAAAGAGACTGTCAAAAGTGGGAGGAACGAAGCAACTTTAAAAATGATGTTGATAACCCGTGATATAAAAATACTGTTCCGATGCGTGGATAACCTTTCTATCCGCCTTCTAGTTTAAATAAAATCCTTTCTTTTATGATAACTGCATGTGATCACAAGTGTGTAATTTTAAAGCCATTGTTTAATGTAAATAAGAATATGAAAAAAAAAGATTTTTTAATATGTGTATATTAAATATATATGACATAGAGTCTAACGAGTAAAGTAATTTGCTTTACTGGGAAAAAAGAACAATAGGATTATTATTATTGTTTATGTTTACAATCCGAAAAATTAAAATAAAATGAACTTCGGTTTCAACCAATGAAATGTCGTACACCATTCATTCACACCATTCCCGATCGCACGTTACACAATCACACCATTCCTCATACACCATTACACCATTCCCCTTACACCATACACCATAGCACCATACACCTTCTACCATTGCACCATATGCCATACACCATTACACCATACACGTTATTTTGGGAAGTTTACACCATCCAAGGGCTGTACTCGCAAGTATCAACACAAATATTGAACTTTAAGCGTTCCTGATGAAGGTAAATCCAGAAAAGCGCCTCGGACACATGAAATTTATAACGTGCTGTTTTCATTTTTTTACAGCACTGAGTCGATACCTCTGGTAGAGGCATATCATTCCCCGAGGGTATAATCAACTCAGTAGTCAGTACTTCGGTACTGACATGATTTATAGCAAACTGTTTAAAATTGCCCGTTTATAAATTTTGAAATTATACAGAAACTCTCTCAGGCAAAGTTGGCCTTAGATGGATTTGGCTATTTTTTTAGGTCCTTTTTGGTTTATTGCTCTTCAACGTTTTGGGTCCTTATATATCCTTGGCTTTCAAATATTCGGCATTGAGCGTTCCTGGTGAAGGTAAATCCAGAAAAGCGCTTCGGACGCATGAGAATTTATAACGTGTTGTTTTCATTTTTTTAAGGTCAATTCAAAATGTTACAAAATCATACGCTCGACTATAACAACCAAGGGAACGAATGGAAAACAACTATAAAAGTATAAACATATGAGTAAGAAAATAAAGATGCCGGGTACATGCACGAAGGAGAACATCAACGAATTAAAAATCTAGAGGTCATCACTCAGTCTTCAACTTGTTTGTATCAATAAGTGGTAGTTGTCTTAATTATACAAGAATACGTCTTCGGTTTTTTGGTTAACTTTCTATCTGATAAAATGAAAAGAGAGGAAAAAAGGAGAGTTATTTTAATTCACTTGATCAGAACATCTACAAATAACACTTAAACTCACCCATTTAGTACTAGATACTCCGGAAATAACCTTGAAACATTTCTATAAAATGTGCTACTATATCCCGTTAAACCTTAAAAAAAAAAGTTTATAATGTTTTTTTTTTTTGTTTTTTTTTATCGTTTTAATTAATTTAGGACTTAACAACCAAGCATATTCTTCATCATAATTGTTTCCTAAATAGCCAATCAAAGAATGATTGACAGATTAATGGCTCCCAAGAATGTGACGCAAAGCATGGATATTCGGGACGATAAAACGAAAACATGATATAAATAGAAACCATTTATGTTTTACACCGACACACGGATTTATTATTGTCATATTAGGTGAACTTTGATATTTAATTAATATAAGGAAATTTCACTCTATCCGGAAGTATTCTTCTAGTACTATGATATTACGTAGGTGTCGCGGACTAAGTGCAAATACAAATTACATAGTTGTATGTTTAAACTCACGAGTTATTTCAATAAAAGCAACCACTTCAACGAGATCTACATGTCAGTTAAATTAGAAAGATATTTGACTTTGATATGTATTGTAGTTCCGAAGTAAATTCTACGTCTTCTGTTATCATGTTATAGGAAATGACAAAGTGAAAACATACCAAAATAATATCAAGCAAAACTAGAAACTAACTAGTAACTCGTGATTCATGCAAAATGCTGCTAATAAAGTTCAATTTCTTTTTTAATTAATGAAAAAAGTTGTAACATGCGATGACAATGTTGACTAGACGGGTTTTACTATCCTTTTTTTTTAACTCAAACATTAGTTTATAATTTGGAATTCAACACATTTCCCATATTGACAACACGAGCAAATCCTATAAAGATGTTTTCTTGTTAATACAAGTATTGTGAACGAAAATAACTAGCACCGTTTATTTTTTGTGTGTTGTTATTTGCGGTTGTTTTTTTCTTGTTTTGTTTTGTGTTTTGAGAACACTGTACATACAACTTTTGGGATGGTAGATAATATGAAGTTGTTTGTCTACCTTTAAAGATAACAGCTGTTCTATTTAATTGTTAGATCCCGTATTACTTATTTACGATCTGCTGGTACGATTACGCACCGCTGTATAATTGAAGAGCGTGTCAGGCTGTCAGGCTGTATTTCATTTTATTTCCTTCTTATACAAAAATCTTAATTGTGTTTCAAATTTTTAGTCCACATGATTGTGTCAATAGATAAAAGAAAAGAATCGCGAATTTTGCAGACACCATTAAAGGAAAGAACTTGATTAATGAAAATTTAGTTAACTTGAATAAATATTGTAGTTCCTTTTCTAATTGCTTTTTATTTCAAATGCAGACGAAAACCTCAGACGGCGTACAAAATTTTGATCCTGGTATCTAATATGAGTTTATATATCCTATTATTCACGGACGCTTCAATTTATATGATACTCATCAAGGGTTACATCGTACAATCTTACATAAATCCTCATAATTTGAGTCTTAATGATACAATACTATAGATTGATTATGTTTCAATAGTATCATCAGTTTAATTGTCAATCAAAAATATAAATGTACATTCTTTCATAATTCGAAATAAGCTAGGAACAAAAATGAAAATAAGAAATGTCTTTCAAAATGCCCTATGAAAACAGCGTTGAATGGTTGTACATGTTGACTTTCAATTGAACATGTACGGTGTTAAAATAAAAGGCAAAATATACCAACAGGATGTTGAAATTCAAAAAGTCTAAACCAATCTGACAATAACATGGCAAAAAACAAAAAAGGACCAAGAGAGAAACACCAGTACACAAAATACAGCATTGAAACTAAAGACTGAGCAAACGAATCCCAATAAAACCAGGGATGATCTCATGTGCTCTGGAAGGGTAGCCAGAAATTGCTCCACATGAGGAGTTAACTATTTTTCAACTTTCAAACATTTTTAAAGGTTTGCATCCAAAATGTTTGATCTTGTGTGTAAGAGATGAAAGTTATTCCTGATACCGGTGTGTTGCTTTTTGAAAAAGTATTATTTATTTACCGCCACATATGTTCTGTTTCAGTTTCAGTTTAATTTCCGTTCCTGAATCTGATATCCACGAGTCGGATGTTTTCAAGCGATCAGGAACAGTTATCTCATCCGAACTAGCCTTCCCTACTTCCATTACTGAAATAAACTTTGAATAACTAATCCATGGCTTTTATTAAAAACGAAACAGATATATAAAACAATATACAGATATGCCAATCATTTAGACAACTGTTCATGGTAGTTTTCTACTTGTTTAGTTTGTTTGGGCTGTTTTGGGTCTGTTGTGGTCTTTACACTTAACATTGACAATTTAAACAAATGGTTATTAGAATCAATACACAAAATAATACAGCTGTAGTTGTTGTCTTCTTGAGGACAATTTATGTTTAATGAATATGCAATTCTTTAATTTAAAGGATTTCTTTCTAATAATAAAACATCAATTTCCGAATTTTTAATGGATCATGCATGGTTTGCTGTTCTGTCAAACAACAAATATGTAAATCATAAGATATTATATGTTATCGTTCATGTTGTCTGTCGCCTGGATTTGCAAATACAAACATTTTTTCTTCAGACAAAAACTGTTTCTGATTTATATCTACTACAACAATTGTATTACAACTGTTTTGTGGACAGCATTTACCACTGTTATTTTTCTGCTGTCATGTTTCAGAAGATGTAAGTAAAAGAACACTTTTATATTTGAGAGTAACATCTATTGATTAAATATCAATGAAAAAAATGCATCCTGGTTGTTCTCCTTCTGTCTTTTATCCTCCTTACGCTCCAAACAATGTTATCTGTATTATTAAAGGTTTTTATGCTTATTTTATGTACAGCATGTTCTTCATGTCAAGATTGGAGTAAAAGAGAAAAACTCTAATTGAATTGACACCTTCGTCGAGAATAAGCATTACATTTAAATATTTGAATGTAAAATGATTTTTCCATCTTTCATTAATAGTGTAAATTGCCATTCCATCTTTCCTCACTTCAAGTTTACCAGGTTAAATTTCACAGAAATGCATGTATACTAGCATTAACACAAACACTTAACAAATTGAAATGCAAAATCGACAGCACATGATTGCAAGCTATCAGAAAGATAAAATATCAGAAGAAAAGTAATTATTAAAAGAATACTTACGTTTGAATAAGTAATACATGTAAGTATTTTAATGTGAAATGATGTGTACATCTTCTTTCAATAGTGTAACATGCCATTCCAGTTTTCTTCGCTTTAAACTTACCAGGTTAAACTTCACAGAAAGGCATTTATACTTAAATTAACACAAGCAATTAAAACATTCAAATAAAAAAAAAACAGCACATAAGTCAACATAGTTTAAAAACGTACCAACATTTTCCTTTACAGCGACCAGGGAGAAATTACTGTCAATAACATCATTAAATGCATCATTAAACCCTGTAACTGCATTCACAAGTGAAGTTACACCGCCTGAACCCTAGTGAATATTAATTAGATATCTATAAATAAATATGCATCATTTATCTCAATGCCACTAGTAAAAATATGCTAAGTTGTCTACAACACATTAGGCATACTCTTTTTTCAGATTATTCGAATCTTCGATCATTTTATATCAATAAAAATTATACATACTGCTCAATTGAGATGTCAATAGATGGTATGTTAAAACAAGAAAATTCAGATGAGAAACAAATTTAGAATATACTTTTCCTCGATTGTCCTTTGAGAAATTTAAACTAAACATTATTTAGGAACTAAGATTCTAACTCTCTAAGGGAAGTATTCATAAAGCTCATTAAGTAGTCAACATTTGAACATACTTGGTTTTCAATACTTTGGTTTGAGCGTTCCAGATGAAGGTAAATCCAGAAAATTACTCGAATGCACATATTTATCAAGTATTTCCATGTTGTAAAATAGGATTGGAAAAGTACATTTGTAACTGACAGTAGACATTAAAGAATCCCGATCGTGCAAGCTGAGTTTTTTATCATAACCTAAAATTATAAACATTTACAATTTAGAAAATTGACACAAAAGGCGCTTTCCTTTGTATTTTTACAAGCTTTAAAAGAAAGTAATTAAAATTATAAAATATCAACCTCGTCGATAAGTTCTTCCCATGGCTGACGGTTTCTTTCATCTAGTAAATTGTTGCATAGCGAGGCAAAAATCTGAAAGATAAATAATTCTTATTTGATAGATATTTATAGGCATTGGTCACTACTATGTTATTAAAGTTGGACAACTTTAGATAAATATAAACATGTTTAAATAAACAAAGTGTAATGCATAGATTTGAAGAAGTCATTATCTCAAATCAATCATTATCAATTTAAGTTGTTGTCTTTATTGTCTATTTTCTTTAACATTAACTTTAATTATTATGTGGGATTCAACAACATCAAAATCATGAATAGAAAATTTTATTTCAAACACATGAAAGAGTATATATCAGACTTAGGTTTTCTTCTAATATATTAATGTTTATGTTCTTCCCTCCGAAGTTGTCATCCAATAGTGTTCTGTCTAATAACAAAATATATTGGTTACTAAATTATGATTGTTTAAAGTAAATAATATTTTTTGTTGTGAATGGTAGTTAATTGTATACCGTAACACTAGATAATTTATTTAATGGTACATTGTACGTAGAATTTTAATTTGATAGTTCATTAAGATAGATAATTATTCAATGCAAGATCCTAAAACTTGTAGATACAAAATTTGCAAAGAAAATTATCATATTCATATATTTAATCATATAAATTTCCTTACACTAACATTAGACAGTTAAGTTTTGTATGCTTTTTACATGTTTTACTTGGCTTTGTGGAAAGTTTTTATGCGTTAAGTCCTGAGTAGATTCATGTTTAATTTTATTTACAAATATCTTTCTTTTTTAATATGTGTGCACCGAATTGACTGTACTTTAGTTTCATTGTGTAATAAATTTGCCAGTTCACTGCCATTTTCTTGAATGTATTTCCAAATATTCACAATTCGTTATATTTAGAAAGATTCTGGTCAAAATAAATGAAAGTTTCATTTGCATCTTGTATCTTTACTGTTCCATGTGTACAATTTGTCTGGATAATGTATGATCTACGTAACTAACCTCTAGTTGATCAACTGAAAGTGTGTCTGTGTGGTTCGTAACATACTTGGCAATATCATTCAGTATTGATGATGACGTGAACAGATCACCTGACCGTAATTCATTATTATTTCTTGTTATGTTTTCTAGATCTTTCAGGATAATCGTCACATTATTATAGTCACTGGCTCCCGACGATAGTTCAGCTGTCTAAAATGATTTGTTTTCAAACTTTATAAAATGTTTTCATTTTGTTTGTTTAGACGGGCTTTGCATTAAGATGTTCGAAGAAATACGAATGTTAAATTTGATAAAATAGCAATATTGTTTATCCTTTATCATAAGTGTGTTTTTTTTATAATCTAGTACCCTCGCGGTCTGCAAATGACTAAAAGACGTAAATCCTTTAAAAGTATAGAATCATAACAGAACACGAACTCTATGTAACTCAAAATTATTCACTTATAAACCAAAATATCGACTTAATATACATGTATATAGGCACAAAGTTGTTGGAATGGTAGACATTGCAAACACGTTGTGCGTCGACCGCAGAACTGCCAGGGAATAAAAGATATGATTTCATATAAAACAAGACATGGGGTATTATTCAAAGAAACGCATGTGCACCAACCCAGCGACATAAAAAGACGTAATGTAAACATAAATCCTTTTTTACAAACGTCAGCACTAGGCAATTTACAATCTACCTGGATCTTGAAAACTTAAGAAATATTCTAGATGAACAAAAACGACAAAAATTCACAGTATTGTTAAATGAAGGACAATAACGCTTGATAAGACAGAGTAAAAATGTGAAAATAGTGAATTGAGAAAAAAAGTGCTATGCATCATTATAACAACAAGTTTTGAAAAAAAGTACAATGGTGTTCAAATTATTCCATGGCAATGGCTTGGAGCTGTCAGTCCGTCTGCCATACTACCCTTAATCAGTATCCGATAGATATTTGGTTTATTTTATTGATTTTTTTTAATTGAAAGCTTCGTTATTAAAATTCCCCTTTATGACACACAATTGATTTCATCTTTGGTTGATATCTAGTTTTGTTTGTAAAGCTTGACCTTCATACACCACGGATACTATATATGTACCTATGTACCTGTCAGTTATCACAAACCTCTTATGTTATATAGGTATGTTGTTTTGTCAATTGCGTTGTTGCCGTCAGTGTTTAATATATTATTGTTTATGAATAGATATGAATAAAAGCCCCATTGCCTATTATGTTATATTCTGCAATTTCAAGCATTCTTAATTATTTTGTCTTTAGATCAAACCAAATGAAAGTCATTTCATGTCAAAACTATTTCATGTTCTGATTTGTTTTGAACCAAATTCAACATACTTTTAATTGCACTGGTTCCCAGATTTCATTAGTAAACAAGTGTCCATAGTACACGTATGCCCCACACGCACTATCATTTTCTGTGTTCAGTGGACCGTGCAATTGGAGTCAAAACTCTAATTTGGCATAAAAATTAGAATGTTCATATCATAGGGAACATGTGTACTAAGTTGCAAGTTGATTGGACTTCAAGTTCATCAAAAACTAGCTTGACCAAAAACGTTAACATAAAGCGGGACAGACGGACGGACGAACGAACGAACGCACAGACCGTAAAACATAACGCCCCTCTACTATCGTAGGTGGGACATAAAACAGGTACTTCTGATCTGAGCAACAAATCAAATATGCCCTTCTGTTATAATTTCATATAATATGTACATAACTAAAATGAAATTTTTAAAAAATATAGTGATCCTCAAGTCCTTTTGTCTTTCATTTGATATCAAAATAACCCAAATATTGTAGTTATTTTGTTTAGAATATGAATTTCATTCTTGTATGTGCTTTCTGAGGGGGCAAACATTAGTGGTTCTTTACCTATGTTTTACCGCTTGGGAAAATATCGAAAATTTATTATGCATGGAAAAATATTGTCAGAGTATACTCAGGGTTTACCTGTTCTTTTATATGTTGTATTGATTTACTTATACAATTGCTATAGTTCGGTTTCTCCCACTTTCCATCGCTACTGCAGTATCTTGAAACATTACCCGTGTATTCACCAGTACAGGCTAAGATAGCTAATGTGCTTTCTGTTGTTATACTCCAATTAGTATGAAAGTTGTCCATATTTTCTTCACAAAGATTTGGTGAATCTGCAATAAGCAAGTATAGGGTAACTGAAAAAGTGATAATGAATATAGTAATAGGTGTCTCATAGAGTATACTTAATTGAAGAGAAAGATTAGTCTTCGCGTCGCCAATAAAACTGTATTTGCAACCTTTTAATCCGCAATTGACGGTGGTAAATCTTCAATACAGAACAATTTTGCCTTAAATTACATAAAATTAGGAATTAATTGAAATAAGTATTCAAACTCAAAATGCAAATCTAATGATTTAAATAAAATAAATAATGAAAATTGCAAATTCAAATACAATCAAGTAAGTTGGCAACATATCAACACATATCAAACACTACATTTGAGGTGGAATAAAATTAACAGCATTATGATCACTAGTATATCAATTTTGATCTGAAACAATAATTTTTGTTCTGAACAGCTCTTAACAGACTGAACAATAAACTATTAACTAATTTTTTGTCTTTCGGTAAATTTTTAGACTTATCCACTGATATTAAGTCAGTACTGTTTAGACAATTCACTTGTAGTCAAGTAAGATCTGTGTACTCAAACATCCTTATGGATTGTCTGCAAAGGTACTGAACCGTTCTGAATTGACTGCAAACGAATTGTCTTGCCAGTATTGAAATAGGTTCACTGGAAAAGTCTGAAAATTGAAACTGAAAGACTATAATGACTGAATAGTTTATTATTCAGACGTGTCTGATGATGTTAAGATCAAATTGACCGTTGAAAATTGAAATTAATTTACCAGGGTATGATATTACGGGTGGCTGAATCTGCTCATTGCTACCCGCATCGAACCTGCTCTTTCATATCTTGTATTGATTTACCTAGGCAGTAGCTGTAATTTGGTTCATCCCACTTTCCATCGCTATTGCGGTTTATGCTCGAAAAATGAAACGTTTTTGAGGTATTTATCCCCTGGCAATTAAGGGACTTAAGCAATGGTCAGCTATGAAAGCTATCTAGATTTGAAAGAAACACAATGAATTTGTAAGGAGTTGAATTGAAGCAGAAATTGCAAAGGAATTAGTCAAGACAAGGCGAGGGATCGGACGGATACATACAATGGACATCTGAGAACTGAAACAAATTGCACATTTTGCCAGCTTTGTTTTGTATGTAACCGCTTTCCGAGCAGTGTTGGTTATAAAGACGAGACACATTATTTTGTGGATTCATCTTTATTTCAACATATCTTTATTTTCATTTTGTAAAACCAGAAAGATATAATACAATTACTGAATTTCTCTGGTAAAAACTATGAGCTTGACGAGGTTCGCACTGAAACCCGGACCGAACGCCGGACCCGAACTTGAGCTGAAACCAAGAACGGACGCCGGACCCGGACTTGAAGAAATTGAAAAAGTGTTTGTCATGAATTGGATCTGTTCTGACTCAAAGTTTTAATGCTTTGAAGATAACTGTCGGGATAAGCATATAGATTTAAATGCTAGATTAGTTTGTAGCAGGCAGGTTGTTAAACATTATTATAATAATGAAAAAAAAGTCTGACAATAATGGCTCAACTGTAGTCATAATCTATAGGTGTATCGAAACCCTGACGGATTGGAAACTGATTTTAACTATATTTCTTTTACAAATTAAAAGGATGAATAATTGAAAAGTAAAAAAAAATGGTCCACTTCAGGTTACAGCCCGGATTCACCTACTAGTATATTTCTTCTTACGCCATGTACTTGTCTGTGTATTACAACTTTGAACCAATGTTCCGAGAAAAACTTTAATATAATAAACAGTGTACATACAGGTAGTGATCTCAATGAAAAAAGGTCACACCAGTCCGGAATCACCGGATCAAAAGAGTATAGTTTGGTTGATTTACCGTTAAATGTCGTTTAAATGATTTTTCTGTTGAAAATCAAATCGACAACAAAAATGAAAAAAAAACAATGTTCAAGCAAATAATTATCCAAATTGCATCTTTTTCGATGTATATTTATTTCGTATACGTGTTTTTGTTCCAAAGGTGGGCTAAGAACATGCTTTATATGTACATTTGTTGTAATGGCCTGGCCATGAAGTTAAATCGACTATTGGGCTCAAGCAAAAAAGACTATCAGGTGCTGATACTTTAATCAAAAACCAATATTACAAATAGTACAAATATGAAAATACAAAGAGAAATACAATTTTACAATGTGTTGAATTAATTTCATAATAAAATGGAAAATGGAAACGGGGATTGCGTCAAAGAGAAAACAACATTGACTAACAAAGACAAGTCACGTCTTAATGAATTGTCTGATATTCTATCAGAAATAGAATATCACAATAAAAATACCAATCTGGGATGTTAGCTTGCTTATTGTGACTCTTCGTTCGAAATAAAACCAATTGTGGCAAAGTTGTCTTATGGACTCCTTGGAAGTGGATAACAAGGGCTTCAAGATATAAGCCCAATTACGACGTTACTTTTCACGGAATTCTCTGCATTTATCAGAGAGATAAGCACGATGAAGAAAAATCCTGGATTCAACTTCGAATCTGAGGTCATACCAATTACAAAGGGTACTGCGTCTTTGTTCACACCTTTTTGTGATATTCTATTTCTGATAGAATATCAGACAATTCATTAAGACGTAAGTTGTCTTTGTTAGTCAAGGTTGGACAGTTGACAAGTTTATTTACGAGTGACGCCTAGAATATTTCTGGAGCACCATACCGCACATCAAGTTTGTACCATAATCTTTGTACGCTTTTTGTTGGGTTGTTGGCCTTCGACGCCCTCATGCTAATGGCATGTTTGGCAGACTCTGGTCCAGACTATATATGGACTCTGGTGCTTCGTTGCCAAGTTCAACTACAACAGGAGTTTGTTCGTCCTTTTGTGTGCCTATCACTTTATGTACATCAGTTGGATCAAGATGTGTATTGACGAAATCTTGCACACGATGGAGCGGATCTTCAGTCTTGTTAGGAAGATATCAAAACGCTTGGCTGTCGTCGTACTATAAGATGCGGGCCTCGGTTCAAATTGGCCCTTATCTCAGCTTTTTTCCCGGCTTACACGTACAGCCTCTAATTTCATTTCAGCTTTCCAGCGTATGGCCTCCTGTCTTATTTTAGCTTTTCTTTGTGCGGTCTCCTGTTCTGTTAGGGTAGCTTCTTGTTTCATTTTGGCTTTGAATTCAGTTTGTCTCAACAGAGTTTGTTCCTCTAATAATGCCTCCTGTTATAGGGTCAAGGCATGTTTTCCACAAAGGGTATTTTTGATTTAGCAGCCTCTGCTTTGATCGCTACCTCCGTTCTAGGTTAGACATGTCAGAGACGTTAGAACTTCCGCTGTGTGAGGTTTTCTCACCTTTTGATGTCTTTGTATTAGTTTATTTGCCCTTTATCAGGATTTGGCGATGCTCTTGTAGTGTTTCCATGACAAGGTCCGCCTTGGACGGTCGAATATATGTTGAAAGATTACATGTGTCGATGTCCTCAAGACGATCCTACGTTCTGGTCTTCTTCAGATGAATCAAGTTCTCATCTGTGAGCCTGCGATAACTAGTACAAGCTAAGTAAAATCATTTCTTAATACACTGCAAAAAAATCCTTCTGATTGGTATAGTGGTATTGTCATAAAGTGCTTTGAAATGAACCGTGGTATATCAAACATCGAATTCCCTCACAAAATGTTATCGCGCACTATACACTACAGCAACGAATTCATCCAAGATGGCGGAAGTAAAAAAATGTTCCTCGGTTCCGTTATGACTTTGCAGTATAGTTAAAGATACGTGTGAGAAAAGGAACAAGTAACAATAATTTCGATTACTAAATGTTTTACACAGATTAAAGATGTATAATCCTCCTAGGTTAGGAACGCATAAATTAATTGTGAAAATAATCAAACAAACAATATAAATTGAGGAACAGGGTTCCAGAATAATATATAACAAACACATATGCATATGGCTTAAATACGTTGTGATTTTTATGCATGTTAAGTGTGATTTTGTTTGTTTTGATTTACATTGGATGATTGTCGGGACCTCGATGGTCTACAATAATCACAAGCCTAACAACATCAAAATACATCATACGAAAATAAACGACAAATTTGATAAAATTCGAAAATGTATGGTTGTAGCATAAAAATGTAATTAGAAGAATTGATGGTCGTTCGTAGCATAATCTCGACACATTTAAAAAGTGACCACCAAAAAGGGACCAAATAAACAACTGCACCTTGTATATAATCTTTCTGCATGATCCTGTCCCAAGTCAGGAGCCTGTAATTCAGTGGTTGTCTTTTGTTGCCAGATATCATATTTGTTTTTCGTTTATTTTTTATTGCAAAAAAAATTGTTCAGGGAATTGTTACTAAATGTAACGAACAAGTTGTATTTAGTTTAAAAAATGAAAAGCTTCCCCTAATAGGCCCCTTCATGGTTATTGCAACCATATTAAAAAGGGGCAGATTTTTTAGATATAGGTAGAATTATAACTGTTAGTATGAAAGTACGGGAAATCTTATGCATGTTTCCAAGCAATCGTTCTGATTCAATGATTTCTCCCGTCTTTTTCAAACCATTGTCACCTTTATTATGAAATTCGGCTCCCTATTGATTATGGCTGCAATAACCGTGAAAGGGCCTATTAAATCACTGTGCATCATATCATTACACTTTAAAAATTGAATAATTAAAATTGTCACATTGTGCACCTGTCTTTTTATGCCTTATGAATTACCTTGTATGTTATCCGGCGGTCACATCTCTGAAATTTATTTTCACCATCCGTAATAATTATCTAAAATGTTAACTTGCCATGCCATACTTGATAGAAATGCGGACGTGGAAGAAAGCACTTTACACCAAACCGTCAACGGAGATTACATTCCATGTATTTTACATTATAACGATTTCGGATCATTTCGTCTTTTAAAAGACAACGACGTGTAACTGTAGAGAGTTGTACTTAATTAACAATAGAAATTACAAGTTGTTTACGGAATCATTATCATGTGGATATGATGAAATTAGATATAG